CCATTCCCCACATGGTGCTTTTGGGCTCCAAGCAACACCGCCAAACTCCCACCCCCCCAAAAAAATAAAAACTTGATTGTAACCAATGCTCCCTCTAAGCTATGGAGTCCTGTGAGCAAAAATTGTACTTTGTGAGCTACTGGGATTGAAGTTGTGAGCAGGTGGTTTGGCTGCTGCATAAATTAGTTTGCTCTGAATCCATCCTTCCTGAGCTAAGACAAAAATGTGTGAGCCAGAGGCTAAAAAACGGTGAGCTAGCTCACACTAAGTCAGCTTAGAGGGAACACTGATTGTAACCACATATCTGGATCCCTGGTGAGGGAAGGACAGTTTGGGCTGGAAGGGAACGATGGGTATGAAAAGGGTTAAACCCACCGTACTCTCTCTCCACTCCGACCCTACTGCTTTTGCCTTAAAACAGCCACTGGGAGTTTTAAAAACACTTCAGTGTCATGTCTAGTTTGGCGCTTTGTGAGACGAAATTCTGTTGGGGGAAAATTCTCTGATCAAAATGGCAGTTATTGGCCAGAGACATTTGTCACATCAGGGAAGACATGATCCTGCTGATGCAGCCTTCATGCACTGCATTCCAGATGGGATGCTTTGGCCTAAGTTGAGGAAGGGGGGAGAAACAGACAGAGCACTTTCATTGGGGTTACCAACTCCTGAAGGGAAATACCTGGAGATCTGAGAGTGGGATTTTGGGGGGAGAGTGGGGTTTAGAGAGCGGGAGGGACCTCGGTAGGGTATAATGCCATACAGTCCACCTTCCAAAACAGCCATTTTCTTCAAGAGAAGTGGAATAAATTTATTAAATAAATTATGTAGCCTGAAGATCAATTTTAATTCCTGGACTTCTCCAGTCCCACCTGGAGGCTGACAACCCTAGCCTTCATACACGATCATATGTGAAGTTGTTTTTAAACAAATCCAAAAGCACTTCACAACACCCTTGTGAGGTATTCCTGTTTGGTGTGTGAGAAAGTGAGGCCACAGAGGGAGGGTCTGTGTCATTTCCTACCCCACTTCCGAGAGTTTGGGCCCATCCTTTTTTCCTTCATGGCTTTCAAAATATTTTTTTAAAACCCCACTTGAGGTAAATTGCTCAAGGCCTCTAGTGGTTTCTGTGACGAGGGCGTTGAGTGGATTAGAAGCCTGCTTCTCCTTCGGACTTCTGAACTGCAAAAGTAAACCAGTGAGGGACCTGAGAGGGAAACTGTTGGCAGCTGCTGCAGAGGCGTGATCTGCAACCAAAAAAAGAAGCGCCTTTATCTTCACAAAATCCTTGGGAGGGGAGCGGAGGCTGCTCTTCGTGACAGTTCGCAATTGTTAGGGACTCTCTTCTCACAGTGCTCGACAACCTCCGGCAGACAGCATTGGCCTTTGAGGGAAAGATGTGACCAACCGCCGTGGGAAAGGACCTGGCGGCACCCAAGGAAGCTGGTTGGGATCCAGGGACCTGCATGCCCCAGATCCACAATGCCAGCAAACGAAAACATCTCTGGGCCAGACGACCTGAGACACTCATCCCAGGTCCTGTCGATAGATGTGCTCTAAGAGTTCCACGTGCAGAACACGTAATTCCGTTCCTAGGAATCAACTTCTCAGCATGGAAGTCCCAGAGCGTGTCTGTCTCTCAGCAGGACTTGGGGTTGGACTCTTCAGCAGTGTGTCCTCTATGCTCTGTGCTGCTGTGCAGCCAGGGTTGCCAACTCCTGGCTGGGAAATAACTGGAGATTTTGGGGGTGGAGCCTGGGGAAGGAGGGACGGGACCCGCTGCAGGGCATAAGCCAGGGTGGTGTAATGGCTGGAACGTCAGCCTAGGATCTTAGGAGATTCAGGTTCAGATCCCCATCCTGGAGGCTTGCTGGCCAGTCTGTCAGGTCCAACCGACCTTGGGGTTCGCTTCAGTAGATAAGTTTGTAGCTAGCCAGCAGACAGATAACTCTCAGCACCCAGCAAATATCTTTAAAGGACTTATTTCATTTAATTGAATAAAAACATTCAAACACTCAGGATGTATGCAGTGCAGAAATCATCCAGCCTCTGAGCAGTTGGCAGTAAAACATTTGAATGCGAAGGTAGGTTGGCAATTCTAAAAAGGGAAGCTGCAGCTTCTTATATGGCAAGTCCTCCTAGACAGTTCAGTACTAAATCACCATAGAACAGAATCCAGTTCCATCTCCAGAGGCAGCTTATCAACTCGAAGTCCAAGGATACTCTGGTGCCTCCTGAAAGGTTAATCAGCATCTAACCACCTGGGCTACTGCCACTCCCTTGAGATAACCAAGCCGTGCAGCTGCTGGCAATTACGCCCACCAGGCTACTGTCCTCCTCCAAGGATGGATCCTGTCAAACTCATGGCCCCCTTCCAATCATAGGGGCTTAGCAAATTATAGGCTCTTTCAGCCCTCATCCCTTACACAGCCATACTTGAACTAAATGCAAATTACCAAGGTCTATCTGGGAGAGAGAGAAAAGACTCACTTCCAGGGCTTTCTGCTTGCAAAGTAGGTAGTTTTATTTAAGAATGAATTCATTCTGATACCAGCCCGTTCACTGACAAACTGGTATGCTGAACAGACATGGAGTCCGTCATTTATAAAGGTAAAGGTAAAGGCAGGCTTCTGTGACTTCCAGGGCTTTCTGCTTGCAAAGTAGGTAGTTTTATTTAAGAATGAATTCATTCTGATACCAGCCCGTTCACCGACAAACTGGTATGCTGAACAGACATGGAGTCCGTCATTTATAGGAAAATACAAAAAGACAGGCTTCTGTGACTAAATCCCATTCCCTAGACATAACTCACTCCTAACCCCTGTTTACAGAACATTTCAAATTCCTGGGAAGGGCAAAAAAGGAAAACAATCCTTCTACAACATAGAAGAGAGATAAGGGAGTCCTCACACTGTGACCATGAAAATGGTTGCCTAAAAGTTCAGGGGTGTTAATAGACTTTTGGGCAAGGGTGAGAGAAGGGACAGAAACACATAGAAAACCTGTTAAGAACATTAACTGTCTCGTGCTCAGTAATCTAAACTATATGTGAGGATACTGGATCCTTATTCAGCATTCTAATAATGAACTACGTTTCTCTTAACAAGTACTCTCTCAGCCTAACCTACCTTACAAGATTGTTGTGAGGATAAAGTGGAGGAGAGGAGAACGATACAAGCTGCTTTGGGTCCTTAGTGGAGAGAAAGGCGGCGTATGAATGAAGTAATTTTACAAAAATAACGCCATACAATTCACCCTCCAAGGGGGCAACTTGGCTATTAGATATATAGATAACGCCATACAGTTCACCCTCCAAGGTAGCCATTTTCTCCAGGTGAACAAATCTCCATTGTCTGGTGATCACTTGTAATTCTGGGAGATCTCCAGGTCCCACCTGTAGGGGGGTAACCCTAAGCCCAATGTACCCTATCCTGTCCGGCGCTAAAGATACACAGCAGTTTTACTAAACTACAGTTAACGCTGGCTGGGGCAGCACATACCCAACTTGCATCGTTTTTGATCCACCTACACCCTCTCTGTTCTCTGCCAGGAGAAAACATGTGGGATTGTTTTCATTTTATGTGATGAAACGGAGGCAGGGGTGGAAAATAACCATTCTGAGAGGAAGCCCCTCCCGAGGCCTACCCGTGCGGGGAAAATGGGCAATGCTCGACCAAGGCCTTTCTGGGCATCAGCTGCCTCCCTTCCTTCCTGTACTCCT